AGGATGTCAGTTCAAACACTAAGGTGCACCTGATTGAAGCCATGGTCTTTTCACGTGCGTCAAATGCTTCTGAAAGTTGGAGAATGAATAAAGATGACAGAAGATTAATTGATGTCTTTGAGTTGTGGTTTTTTAATAAAGTGCTGTCCCACAGACTGCCAGAAGTACAAACAAACGTGTGTTGGAGAAAGTGCAGCCGGTATGTTCCTTAGAGACATGGATGGTGACTGGGACTTTGCCTTACATACTATAGGCATGCTGTCAGATGTAGTCAATCCTTGGAAAAAGACCTCCTGCTGGGAAAAGTGAAGGTCCAGAGAAAGAAAGAAAGACCCTTAACTAGACGGATTGACACAGTGACTCTAACAGTGGCCTTGAGCACCTAAGAGATAGATGATGAGAATAACAGGATATGGCAAAATTCAGATCTTTTGTTCACAGCATCACTATGAATCTTCATCACCTTAAAAACACATAATAAGCACAACTTTAGGACTGTCTGTGGCTTCACTATCAACAGCTAAATCTTGCCCTACACTACCCCATCCTCACAACCTCTTGCCACACTCAAGTTAATTTGTGTTGTCACTGTGCCAGTCCTTCTCATGGAAGGTCTGTCTTTCACTCAGTCAAGCATGATGTCTTCTTCCAGGGAATGCCCCCTCCTGACACCAGGCCCAAGGTATATGTGAGGAAGCTTCACTATCCTTGCCTCTGAGGAACACTCTGGTTGCAGTTTCTCTAAAACAGACTTCTTTGTTCTTTTATTAGTCGGTGGTACATTCAATACTCTTCACCAACACAATCATTCAAAGCTCCAGTGATGTACTTCATAGGAAACTGCCCTGCGTGTCCAAAGGCAACACCTGTCTGATATTTTTCAATCCACAGCAGCTCTATCAGAGAAAGGTGGATAGTCTCTCTTCCCATGTGATTTACAACCTGGGAAACACAGTGGAAGGTCAGCTATGAGGTTAGTCCTGACGCAACAGCAATGAGATAAGCTGGACAGAGTAAAAGAAAAAAAATTTAAACATTTCCTTTTTATATACTATGAACATAACATATATTATATGTTATGTTATTAACAAAACATTTCTAAAATTTGTAAAAGCACTGTAAGACTTAAACAAGATATAGTTGTATGTTTCCTGGAGAAATAGACAACTGCGACAGTCTCTAAAGGGCTATTTGAAGACAATTTCATTAAATCGACAAAGATGTGGTGGTGTACCATCGAGTAAGAAATCACCAATATCTGACCCCTCGGTGACTTTTCAGAGGAAATCACACAGGAGGAGATTGCCCATCCTCCTCCCACCTGAGTGGCTTGTCGATTTGAACCTTGTACATTTGAAATTGCAGTGCAGCTTCTTGCCTCTAGGCAACAAGAGCTCCCTACAAAGGTACAGACAGCATAAAATCATCATAATTAAGTCTTTTAAAAACCTCATAGAGACTCCTAACTGATACATTGAGTTCTGGAGGCTGCAAATGGGACAGGACTAAGAAATGCACCGTCTCTCGCTCTCAAGGAAATGCTAGTGGATTTGAACTGCCAGGAAAGCATGCCCTTTGAGTTAGCAGCACAAAACTCTACAGACTGCCCCAGCAGAGAACATAGAACAAAGGAATGGTGAAACTCCAAGGACTATTTGCAACAAGAAGTGATTGTGCCAAGGTTAGAGGAGGGGGAGTGTAGGAATGAGAGATGATACTGAAATTGGATTCAGCTCAGAACAAAGAAACCCAGTGATACAATCTATTAAAATCACCACCAAGGACACATGGAGAGAGAGGAACGGTCTGGAGTAGCAATTACAGATAACCAGAACAAAGTGAAACCTCATCTAACCAACTATGTACTATGGAAAATCTGTAAAACATTAAATGTAAATAATTGAAAAAATTCACCTTAAAATTCTTTCTGATAATTTTTTTTAAAACTAGTTTATTTCAGCATGGTTTCTCACTGTCTCCTCTTAGGTATTCTAAAATGCCCATAGCATACTGAAGCAATGAGAGTATATATAGTGCATCTATCTTAAAGCTTTCCGTTTTATGTTATTTTGATGTAAGACAAAACCATAAGCGACTGTGAAATTGTATTACTGTTCTGTTTATAGAAGTGTTTACTTGTACTGTATCAGCTCAAAGCAAACAACAACATGGGAGCGTGTATGTCCCTGGCGGGTGCTCTCTCAGACAAGCCATGGTGGAGCGTGCCTGAAAACTTTCTGCAGCCACTGGAATTTTGCATGGACAAGGACACGGAAGAGCAAATCTTTGGCACAGGCTCTTCAGACACACTCCTTCGCCGAACTGAGGAGCACAGCGGCACCCTTATCCATCTAGAACCCTGGTTCACAGCCTCGGGTCAAACTTGTGTGATAATAGTAGGACCAATCCCAGCGAGGAGATGGCTGCTGAAAATGATCCAATGTTTAGAAAGCTTAGATTCTGAAATTCGGGCCCAAGGTTTCTATATGCTGCTTCGAGTCCGGAGCCACCCACTGACTGAAGACAACCTGTATTCACTTCCTGGCCGACTGTCTCTTTCCTCAGAAATGGCATTGGCTGGCAAAACAGGGAGTTTCTCCTACCTTGGAATTATCTAACCACCACCATGCTGTCTCATATAAATCTCTTCAATGTAATAAAATGTTCCATCCTGTACAATCCTTCAATAAAACAAAGTTAGTTAATATGAAAAAAAAGAAGTGTTTACTTGTGAAACAAAAACCTACATGTTAAATCAGAATAGATAAGAAAAGAAATAAAATGTTTTTGTTATATGCAATTGGATCAGTATGATTCATAGTGACCCTATGAACAACAGACCTCAATTCTATACTATCCTGTGCTATCCTCACCATTTCTGATACACTTAAGCCCAATGCTGAAGTCACTATGTCAATCTATCTCCACGGGGGTCATCCTCTCTTTCGCTGACCCTCCACCTTTCCAAGCATGATATCTTTTTCCAAGGAATAGCCTCTCGTAGTAACATGTCCAAATTACGAGACAAAGCTTTGTTATTCTTGCCTCCAAGGAACACTCTGGCTTCACCCTTTCCAAGACATACCTGTTCATTCTTTTGGCAGTTCATGGGATATTCAGTGCTTTTCCCTACCACCAAAATTCAAAGGCACAAATTCTTTTTCTGTCATCCTTATTCATCATTCAGCTCTCAAATGTATAGCAAGCAATTGAAAAGACCATGGCCTGAATTAGGCACACCTTAATCTTCAAACTAACATCATAGCTCTTCAGTATTTTGGAGAGGTCCCTTAAAGCAGACTTGCCCCAAAAGCGTGGCTCTTTATCTCTTAACCACTAGTACCAAGGATGTTTACTGTAGATGCAGATGAAATCATTAATCTACAATGATGTTGCCCACTTGGCCCAGTGGTAAAAACCTTTGCCTTCTTGAAGTTAAAATGTAACCCATAATAAAGGCTGTAATCCTTCATCTTGTTTGCTTTCAACAAGCAAGGTTGTGTCATCTGCATAGAGCAGGTTATTGATGAGTCTTCCTACAATTCTGACATGACATTCTTTTTTCACAGAGTCCAGCTTCACAAATACACAAATTATTTGCTCAGCAAAAAGCCATATTTTAAAAATACATAGAAAAAAAGAAAACCACAAAAACCCACCACTAGACAGCTCCCAGATACTAAGATAAGTACCAATTCACTAGCCATGAGATTTGGGACTACTTCTAAAGCCACTTGTTGGTAGCAGTTTGGAGTTTCTGGTCTCCTTTATAAAGCATGTTGTTATGTACCATCCTGTCAGAACCAACTGACCCTGCAGGGGATTTTCAGAGGTAGTAAATCACATGAGAGGAGACTGCCCATCTTTCTCCCTCAGAGGAACTGGGGGATTTGAACCACATGCCTTTGGGTTGGCAGCACCATTCCTTTCCACTAGACCACCAGAGTTCTAATTGATTCTTCTCTTCTCCGACCTTCTCTTCAGTAACCTTCTGCCTTCTAGAGCTCCAACCAGTGGTAATCTCCAGTGCATCTGGCTTTCGGCCCCAAGCATTTTCAACCCCAACCTTCAGGGCCTGTGGTCACTCAGAGCCAGCTGAGCTGCTGCCATGGCCTGGAGAGATCCAATAGGCATGAGGTCAGTTCACCCACTTTATAACTTTGATGAGAAGACTTCGTTCTTAGTCACAGAGAAGTGTTTTCAAATTTGTTTCCATGCCTCCTTTTTTGTTCTCTCATGTGCATAAAAGCAAACATTGTCTAGATCTGAATGCCTCCCTCTCTGGCGCTATCTGTGCTGTTTGTGTGCACAGCCCAGCTCTGGGAAGGCTGAGGAACAAACTGTCACACAGAGACACAGAGTGTTTGCTGGTTTGCAGCTGCAGCTGTTGTCTGTGGTGCCAGATGTCTTTCACAAGCCTTTTCTTTTTTTCCTCATCCAGATCTGTCTAGTGACATTTCTAGAAAAAATTATATCCCCGCGCCAAGTTTACTTATCTAAGTCGCATAATTCTCCAAAGATCATAATTAATGTTCTACAAAATTTTAATACAGAAAAGCAACACTTTATGTATGTTGTTGCTGTTGTTGTTTATTGCCTTCAAGTAGAGCATGACTCATAGCAATCCTATGAACAAAAGGCTTGAGATATATTTATATATATATATTTATTTATATATAAAATGTAAATTTTATATATAAAAGGATAAATTATATATATATATATATGTATATTTCCTCCTCATTTGGTAATCCACAATTGCTTTTTTGCCTAAAAGGAGTCTGTAATTCTAACTGAACTTTCTAAGAATCACGTACATATTATCTTAGTATCTTAGGAGACACACATTGTGGCCAATAAAATAAATTTTGTCAAATTAAGATGAACAGCAGCAGTTTAGTAGGTAATGAGTTTAGCAACAACTTCACAATTTGTTCTTGGCAAGACCAGCAAGGGCTCTGGGGCTCTGGAACACCCTGGAAAAACATTTGAAGGGAAGAATGCAAGATGCAGCAGGAAAACAGATCCTATCTTCCTAAAGCCAAGAGAAAGTGCTTCTCTCCCCTTTAGTCAACATCTGTATTTGTTCTGTGGATGTTGAGGAATAACAAACGAAGACATTCCGTACCAATTATGCAAATGCATCAGGAATTTATATTTCCTTTGCAAGGTAAGAGAAAAGGAAAGAGGAAAGAAATTCTATGTCCAAATTCTATTCATGACAAAGTAAGTCAGATGTTATTTTTGTTGCTACGTGCTGTAGAGTCAGTCACCTGTGACCCACAGCAACTCCTATGAACAACAGTTCTGAAGCCTGCCTTGTCCTGAACCATTCTCACTGACTCCGATACACCAACCCCCAATGCCCTAGTTATTGTATCATTCCATCTCATCCGAGATCTTTTTCTCCTGAGCTGTCCCTCCGCCCTTCCAAGCATGATGCTCGGCTCCACAATCAATACCCTTGACACCAGCAGTCAGGAAATCAAAAGACATATTGTATTACTTAAATCTGCTCTTAGGGACCTTTCTAGAGTACTAAGAAGCAATGATGTCAGTCTGGAGACTAAGGTGCTTTTGACTCAGGCCATGGTCTTTACAATTACTTGCTATGAATCAGAGAGCTGGACAACGAATAAGGACCACAGAAGAATTGATGCCTTTGAATTGTGATGCTGGAGAAGAGTCTTGAACATACTGTGGACTGCCAAGAAAATGAATTGGTCTGTTTTGGAGAGGGTGAAACCAAGATTTCCTTGGAGGCTAGGATTTTAAAGCTCTGTTTCACATACTTTGGACATGGGGCTAGGAGGGACTGATTCTTGGAGAAGGACATCATGCTCCCTAATATGATGGTAATGAATTGTTGGTATTTTTTTAAAAAAATAATTATAAAATCCATCTTTGACATTATTTAATAAAATTATAGGATAATCACCACTGTATAAAACAGTAGGGTCAGGGGGAAAGGTTAAGAAAACAAATTGGCTAATAAACTCAAATTTACTCAAAAAATGCACATAAGCACATACAGGTTATATTCCTAAATCCACAAGAAAGAGCTTTTAAGATTTAGTAACTTCAAAAGTACAAATGTTATAATCTTGCAAGGTACTACCACATGACAGTTTAGTTATCAAAATTCATTGTAATTTTTTTCTTTTTTTTTGTTTCATTAAACATTTGACATCTACAATGTAAACAATACAAAAATGAAAGTACCGATGGCAACTATGCAAGAGATTACTGTAAACTTATAACTACCTTTTCCCAGGGTCCAGTTTTTGTCTTGGGGATCTCAGCCAGTATTGCTGTTAGTTGTTTACCTGGTTGATGTATCCCAATACTATTCCTGAGTTATTAGTAGAAATAATATTCAATTTGTTCATAGGGTCACTATGAGTAGTCTATGACTTGACGGCACTTAACAACAACAATAATATTCAATTCAACTGTTACACTGAGTCAGAGCCCATTTATAGCTGACCCTTCAGTGAGTTCACAGAAGCTGTAAATCACATAGGAGATTTTCCATCTTTCTCCTGAATCATAGCTGGCAGATTTGAATAGATGACAGCACAAAGTAGGGGTAATAGTAGCAGCAGAAGCAGCAGTAATAGATGTAGTAGCAATGTTTCAAATCACGTAACATCAATTTCATTTTTCCACGAGTGATCAGTATCAGTCATTCTATTTTTTTATTATTATTAAATTTTATTAGTTTTAATGACCATTTACAGGGATTTGGGGTTTTCATTCCTTCATTGCTGCACCATTCTCTCCACTCTCCTCCCCACTTTGTTCTTCTTCCCCCGCCATCCGAATGTCTGTTTTAATTGTCCAATTGCCACAGTGCTTGTCAAAGTCAGTTCTGATTAATCTCCTTTGTCAGTGTGTCCTTTGCCAT